ACATCAGTCTGCTGGAAGATTTTACTTGGACAAAGCTAGAAGTTTTACCCTGCTTTTTGCCCAGCACGGGTCACTTATGGGTCTTGTTTGATGTTACAGGCTTCCCTTGCCAGCCACGGTTTTGAGTATTCACGCTTAATATTCTATATACCATTTTGGCTACCACGGTATACAGTTTTGAGCAACCATGGTTTTTCATGGCTGCGCATCAGCCCACCACCTCCCATTTCAAATAATTTGTGCTCTTGCTAGCCACCTGTGGCTCTCCCATCTCCTCATGCACCCTCAGTCTCGCATTGTGCTTCACACCGTTAACATCCAGTCGCAGGTGCTCTGCATTTTTCTTCCACTTTCTTTGTGATTTTTTTTTTTTGCATTTTGTCCTTAATCATGGCCTCTAAGTGCATGAGTGGTGAAGGTAAGCAATTTGTGAAAAAGGCAAGGAAAGTGATGTCCTTGGAAACAAAATTAGAGTTGTGGAATCATCTAGCACATGGAGAGAGTGTGGCGAATGCAGGGAGGCATTTTGGTGTGAAGAAATCCACTGTGAGAACCATTTAAAAAAAGTGAGGCTACTATTAGGGCTAGTGTTATGAATGGTCCACCGGGAAGTGCTAAAATTTCTTTAAAAGACCCACTACTCAACAATGACACTTTTTTTTTTTTTTTTTTTTTTTTTTTTTTTAACCTGTTCAAGGTAAATAAAAATTATTTTTATACACTGTATCATTGGCGAGACATAGGGGGTGCACATGGCTGCACATGCACCCCCTAAGATTGGCAGTGCACCCTCTGTGAAAAGCGCCACCGATGTGCTGGTGGCACCTGTGGGCGGTCACTGCTCACCACCACCCCCCACTGACACCGCAGGCAGCATCTGCAGGTGGTCCCTAGTTGCTGCTGGCCACCGCTGATGCTACTGGTGGTGTCTGTGGGTGGTCCCCGACTGGTGCTCTCCCCACCCCTGCTGCTGACATCATCATGGCAGCCTGCGGGAGCTCCCTGCTGCCATGCCCCCGCTGCGCACATTGCTGCTGCCACCTGTGAGTGGTTGCCATGCCCCCCCGCAACCTCCAGGGGCACGTGGCGTTCATGCACTGTACGTTCCTTTATTATTCATATTCAAGTCCCTAACCATAAGTCAGGGTTTCCCATAAGTTTTTTGTCCTACCAAGCACAGTTTTGCCAACCATGGGAACTTTCAGGAACCTAACTCCCACGGTTGGTGAGGGGAAACCTGTACTTAAACAGATGCTGAATGTGCATCTCTGCTATGCTTTCTCCTGCTTGGCCATGTGCAAATACAGCATTGTGATACCTAAGCAAGTTCTAGGCAAGCCAACTGGGATGTAGGAGACAGGTTAGCCATATCACGCTCTGTACAAGCTCCTTCACTCTGCTGTGAAGCTACTGTACCCAGACTAGGCTGGTGCAGGTATCTTTACTCTGCACCACAGTGCACAGTGTAGACAGCCTCTAGGATGAAGGAAAGCTGCTGGAACACTGGGCTTTTCCCAAGACAAATGCAAAGCTGTTTGAGAGAGAGGATCTAAGGCAGTGGGCAGTGCTAGTATCAGGAAGTTCTTGCAACCCACAATGGTCAGCTCAACCCATCTGCCTGTCTGGTGCATTAGCTTTCCGACAGCTGTTGCATAAACCCAGCTATGTGGACTAGCTGAAGACCTGCTGAGGGAATGTTCCCTTTCACATGATTGGGGCTATGCTTAGCACAAGGTTTTCATGGATTTCTGGGTTTTCAGGGAGCATTCTGATGAACAGTCTAATTCCCATATAGCACATACCCATGCACCCCATCCAGGCATTCCTGCGCTGACATCCAGTCATTCCTGCGCTGACCCCACAATTGTTTACTAGGAGATATAACCCAACTCCATCTGTGTGTGCAGACTTCCAGCAATGAAGAATTCACTGTGCCCCTAGGCAAGCTGGGCAGATAGATCACTGCCCTCACCCTTAATGAATCGCAACCTGCTTTCAGGCTGGCTTTTACTGGGCACTGGACTGTTGTGCCCTTGTCTGATATCAGAAATCTCCTCCCCAGGTGGGTTCTAATATCCTACTAGCTACTCTCCTCTCAAACATTTCTTTGAAGCATAGGACAACTCTAATTTTCACTGGTGCATGAACTTCATCACTGTCTTTAGCGGCATCCTACTTGTACAGGAGGGAGAGAGGGCAGCCCTCAGCATACACTACAGTGTCTTGCAGAAGGAGCTGGTTGGCCATGCAGCTATGTTCTCATTCAGGCGGCTGATCCTGGATGGTGCAATCTGCAGTGCTCTGCCTCCTGGTACCAGACATCAGTTACTTGGCAGCCCATCCCATGGTGCTTTTATCAGGAGCAAGATCTATTACATCATTGTCTGTCACATCTCTTTTTATCTTGAGCTGTGTGCTCACACCCACTTTGGCCAAGGGGTCTGTGAAACAGAGTTACCCCATGTCCTTTCCTTCAGAGAGGACTTTGAGGGGATGCAGTGCAAATGTACATCATGCAAAGGCAGAGCCCCTGTTCTGGGGCTGGAGGCACTGCTCTAAGTGGTCAACTTCTCAAGCCCTGAGTTTTGACATTCCACTGCTGGCCAGCAAACAGCAAAGCCTGCCTTGCATCCCTCCACAACAGCTGCCCAACAAAGAAGAGAACAGGTCTTTACTGCCCCCAGTCACTCCTCTAGCTCCAGGGGCAGAGGTCTGTGTCAGCAGTATAACTAGGGCAGACTGACAGGGGCAGCCACCAGCACCAGTGAGGCAGCTGCCCCTATGTGTCACAGTTGCCCTGGGTGCCTGGCTGTGTTGTTACACCTCTGGTTGGTGCTGCAACTTTGAAGGTCCAGGATTCAGACCCTGGGAGGGTCACAGCAGCGGCACATAACAGAACTTAACTGTTCAGTTTTTCCTTTTAAAAGCATATGGGATTCCATACAAGCTAATGTCAGTCACCAACAAGGTTGTGAAGTTGAGCACTCAGACACTAGAACATGTCAGAATGAAGGCTATGCATGTCACCTGAATTCACCGCTCAGCCCCATGATCCTACACTATGTGGTCTCCAGGCCCCTGCCTTCATGTAGGCACAAAATGGACAGTGATGGAAAAGGAACCTGCACAAAGAGAAACCTTGACTTGTACTGCAGACACTGTCAGAGGGCTGAGAGATGAGTGCTAGCTGTGTGTTCTATATGTAGCATGTGCCCCTCCTAAGATAGCTGGGACCTGATGGGCAGACATGGGGAACATGCCCAGCCCCTGGTTAAGGCAGGAGGAACTGCCACTCCTCAGCATCTCTGCACATTGAGTCCTTGGTGTCTTGAGCTGGGCACACAATCACTGAGGTCCCCCAAATTGCCTGTCTGATCATTAAGCTTCCTGCCTCAGTTTCCCCCGTGCGCAGTGGAGATGATCATGTTAAGCCCCTCGACTGAGCTTAATACATGTCTATGGAATGCATGAACCAGTGCAATAGAGAAGCTCTTGAGGAAACAAAAATCCCTTGTTTGATGCAGAGTTAGGACAGTGCACAGTAAATATGGAGCAGGGCCACAGAGGCAGAAGGGGATGAAAGCAAACCTTGAACAGTTGTCTCATTCAGTGAGCCCTGTCCAGCCTGTGATTTTAAGGAGGCAGAGTCAGGCAGAAGAACTAGTGAGCAGCTAAACACTGCATGAAAATCCTTACAGAATTAGGGGGCTGAATTAAAGTTGCATGGGCAGACTTAACTCTGGCCTGTCTAGATTGGTGAGTGCTTAATTTTGCAATCATCATGCTCTTCTAGTATAAGGAGGGGGTGTTTAAGATATCACCTACATTTTTGGATAGTATTTGTTGCCCAATGCTTCCGTAAAACAAAAATATAGTGGCTGGATCTGGCATGCAGAAAACTGCAAAAAAGTGAGCAGATTCCTGGCAGGCAGTTTCTTTTTATAATAAGCTCTTTGTTAAAGGGTTATTTTTAACTTAAGCAGCCTGCATAAGTTCACTGTAGTGTGTTGAACCATACTATTCACCAGTAGGTAACAGCTCCCTCAGAGAAGCAGTGCTTGACTTTACCTATGACAGGATAGCATACCAGGTCAAGACAAGAAATGTACATTATACTCTAGTCTTGACCTGGTAAATAGCACATACTGGTAAATGAAAGACTTAAGTATTAGTGGTAGTATTATACAAAGACAACATTCTTGTGCATGCCCTTTTAATTTCTCATGACAGCTATAAACTGTATTATAGCCCATAGCCTGCTACTGGGCTGCAAAATTCAAGTACATATGGGATAGATTCTATCTAGACTCTATTGAAAAATCAGATACAGTTATACTGTGGGAAAGGTTGCACTGCAAGTAAAAATGCAAAGACAGAGTTGGGGACATTTGACTTGACTCTGTATTTAACTGCTGGAGTTACAAATCCAGTGAATTTTACAACTTCCTTAATGCCTAATGTCCTCTGAGATGTTTCAGTGATGCACAGTGAATCATGAAAACTTTAGTCCTTGTATTTTTCTTAATGTGAGTGCTAACAACTGCCCTGCCTTTGAATGAGAAAAGCATCAGCAAGAAAAGAAAATAGCCAGAAAGAGCTTCGAAGGATTGGTAGCTTTCTAATATATTTATAAACAACACAGTTCCAGAAAATACCATAGGTATTCATGAAAACAGCTCTGCACAAACTATTCCATTCCACAAACTAATTTGCATTCCAAGTTATTCCTTAAACATACAAGGATCTGTTACCTATAGTTATTTCTGCTACTCCAGTTTCCTCTACGAACACACTTGCTGCTTCGTGCATCATGCAGACTCACACACACATTCCAGGGAATTGCTCCAGAGATTCAAACCCATTTTTTCCTGATAAAAGAGGAATAGTCTCTACATGAAATGGAATGGAACAGCAAGCAGAAGAGCCAGAAGGTGGTAGTAGACAGCTCCTTTGCATATGCTCTAAGACCCTGTATGGATGTGATTGAGCGGTTAGCTTACCTGGGAAGCCTGAGACTCCTGACATGCTGTGAGACACAGGAACAGAAAGAGGCTGTACTGAAATCCAGAAAACATGTTCCCAGTTTTAAGGTGAAATCTCTTGTTAAAAATTAATCTTCAAATGCTTTCCCTCCCAAGGCTTTTCTCTGTCTGTTTTAGAAGTCCTTGGGAATGCCTGGAATGCAGCAGAGTGACAGCTGAGTTTGCTTTCCAGCCCTAACCTAGCTTTTACACAGAAGGCTTGAAGAATACCACTCAGTTCTCAAGCCCTCCTTTGTAGGCTGCCCCTGCTGCTACTGTGAGCTCTCACAGTCCAACACCTAAGTTGCTTGGGTCTGGCTGTGTGACTGACTTATCCCTCCCACTCAAGCTCTTGGCTTAGTGCACTGCAGGAGGTAAAAGCAGAAATATGGGAGTCTAGCAGTGTCCTTGTAGCAGTAGATACTAATCTCGGCAGCCAACCACTTGGCTAGTAGACATCACTTGGCAGGCAGCACACTCTGACAGTGGTCAATGTGGGGAATATCTTCCCTTTTGCCTCCTAGGGGCTGTATTTCCAGTGAGTGCTGCTGAAAATTGAGCACACCCTGCTGCTGTGCAACAGATTTGCATTATGCCTTTATCCTTCTCTGATGGAGAAGAACTGCACAGGTAACTGGCACTATGGCCCTGAGGGCAGAACCCCCCTCTGCACTGCACTGCAGAAGGGATGAGTTTGGTGCATGTCACAATTCCCTTGTATTTGGAACCCAGCTCTCAGCTAAGCACAGTGTTCATGGAAGGGGCAGTGTTGGCCTTTGGATGCTCATGTGTAGTTCCTAGTGAAGCCTTTGGGACCCATATGTGAGTGACAAGCCAAGGTGGAGTAGGGTTCTTGGAAAACTCACATTTATATAGAGAAACGCAGGCACAGAAGTGGTGCTATGGTACATTCTGCTGGGGCGCTCCTCTCCTGAGTGTACTGGCTTCTCTCACACAAACCAGCAGCTGAACTTTAAAAACATTCCTGGAAGTGGATGCAAGGGGCAGTGCCATAGTGGGGGGCGGTCAAGTGGGGCGACCACCCTGGGTGCTGAAGTGAAGGGGTGCCAACAGGGACTGCGCAGCCCAGGTGGGGCATGGGATGGAGCCGCGAGCAGCTCGTTTTGGGGGGACGGACGGGCGAAGGGTGGCTCCTGCTGCTGCAGGCACTCCCAGGCAAGCATGTGGGAGGCATGTGCCCCCCTGGATCTGTGCACAGGGCGAGGGTTGGCTGCTAGTGTAGGCTTTGCTCCAGTGCCAAACTTTGTTGCCATGGTACTGGCAAGGGACTTTCTCACCAGCCACAGCTTCCGATTTTAGACTAATGGCAGCCCAGAAACAGCCCCTGACAAATAGACACATGAACCTTAAAGCTCTCAGATTCAACAAGATCATTAACACCACAACCAATAACAGAGAATTTTTTCTCTCCCACCAGCTCGCCCATGCTGCATCTTACATGTCCCAAGAGGGCAGCAGGCAAGCTGGGAGGCAGAGCAGCTATAGCCTGCTTTGCATGCTTCACTATCTAGTCTCTGTACCCCTGACCCTGGCCCCTGATGACCCCTCTCCCTTCTGTACAGCCCTGGGGAGAATCTAGAGATGAAAAAAAATTGCAGGGAAAGGAATTTGTCATCTCCCTAGAGAACTGGAGGCAGTCTAGACTTGGCAAAACAGTGTCACATAGACTAGGATCAGGCAAAATAAGGCCCGTGGGCCAGATCTGGACTACCAACTGATTGGATCTGGCTCACGGGTGGGCATCTGCCAATTGATTGGATCCGGCCTGCAGCTCTTCCCACGGCACTGCATGGGGCCAAACCCCACCCACTCCCACCCATGGCAGCCAGCACTGTGCTCCCACTCATACCTGCAGGATGGTCCTGGTCCCCATCCCGGTCCCAGTCCTGGTCCCCACTCAGCCACCCGCACATGACTGTTCATTATGCCAGGTGGGTGAAGCAAGTGGAAGGCAGCCAGGAGATGGAGCTGGAGCCCCATGAGCTGGGGCAGGAGCTGCCAGGGGCTGTGGTTTCCCCCCTGCCTGGAGTGGCACAGCAGGACCATGCACACCCCCCAACAAACACCCCACAATCTACAAGAGTTAGATTTTATTATGACCTATTATGCAATCACATCTATATACACTACTCAACAACAAATGTAAATCAGGACAAAAAATATTTTTAGAAATAAAATTAAAATGTGTTACAGTAGATGTGTGGCAGGGCACTGGTTGTGCCTGCCACTTTAAGGGCCTGGAGCTGGCAGCTGCCCGGGGCCTGATGAGGGCCGCCCTTTT